TCCCTTGTCGTCTTGTTAGACATTACATATATAAAGACGGTGGCTATAACGTACATCGCATTGCGGACTCGTATTGTGTTCATGGCGGCGCCGGTGTGTCGGTACGCGTGTAAATGTGTGTCGAGCGTGAGATCTGCGATTCATATCCGCGGTTTTCACACGGGTTGGAAAAGGATGACATGTGATTTCGCGGATTGCGCGCATGCAGGGGATACGGACATCGCTGGTCGGACGGATCGCGGGGATAACAAGCTTCATGGACCGCCGCGAAATGGGCCGAACGTAAAGTCAGGATGTCGTTATAATGCGTGTGATGGGTAATGTTGCGTGCCGAAAGTGATGTTGTTTGCCATGAAACGTTGTTAATAGACGCGTCGCGTTTAGCTGTCGTCGTATGTTGCGCTAGGATTTTATACGCGAATATGATGTCATATCGTATACGTTGCGTAATGGTCAGTGTGTGGGACTCTATATAGCGATATTTGTCGCGATCTGTTAAATGTTGTGATTATCAGCATAAGCGTTCATCAAAAGAATCAAAAGACAAAGATTTTTTCAGTTTGTTGCAAAATACATAAGAGCAATATAATATGAATACTATTCTAAAAAGCAAACACCGACGAGAAAAATAAGAATTTATTTAATTAATATGGTTATTATGACGACGTACTGTTAAAAAAAAATGCGCTTACCAAGTTGGCATACAAAATGTCGAGATACAGGATAAAGACTAAAACTCCCTTTCCTGCGGTCAGAGAGGACCGTGGTGGAAATTTAAATTTTCCCACGTACAGAAAACTTCACAAAGCTCAGTGGGCCGCTTAATAAAATTTTCCTACATACAAAAATTCCACGCGCGCCTCTTCTCATGTTCACGTGCAGGTCTCAAGAGCAAGACTGAGAGACGCGAAATCTCTGTCCCGTTTGCCGCGAGCGGGACACGAGCGCGTTGCTATGATTGCCCGTATTAGAAGGGGAGCACACGTTCGACGCAATGGATCGCAAATTCTGTATGCATTCGTGGTTAGCGGTGTGCAACGCCGGAACGATCGATCGCGCGAGATATGCACGCTCGGATGCTGCGCTTTTGCGCGCGGATCGCGTCGATGAACAGGCCGCGAATTCTCCGCGCGCTTGATACGCGGCCCGTTACTACGTGTTGCCCGATAAGCAGAGTTCACTGTGTGCAGATTTCAGCCCTTAACCCTTTAACGCTGCTTGCCTCGAATTGACGAGCCGTCCGTTACGAGTGATTTATATGATTAAGCGAGGCACAACGTCACATTCATCGTTACGCGATTGCCGCATATTCATCATAGCTAACGAAATATTTCTGCTTTCATATTTCGACAATTTTCGTTATCGTTGCATTGTACTATTGTCGTAACGAAGTGGTCAAATTATTTCTATGTCTATACAATGCGGTACTTAGCAATTTAAATTAATAATAATGAAATTATATTAATAATTTTATATTAATTTATGTTTTAGAAAAAACATATAGAATTTTTGCATAGTTAATAATGCACAAATGCATATCTTGGGATAATGTGATGAAATTATTATGTTTATGATACATAAACAATCAAGTATGTGTAACTGATTCTACATATTAATTGTATTCACGTTTTCAAATCCAAACTATAAGATATATAACATTTCAAGCGGCATAGATTTGATTTACGATCCTTCTTCTTTAAATCGAGACACAAAATTTCTTTTTTTAAATGTTGCAACACATATAAAAAAAAATTTATTTTTGAATAGAAATAAATTGTATTAAAAACTATTTCATTTCCTATTAGGACTTATTTGCAAAATTTTTTCTACTTTAATTCTTTGATTGATTTATACGTCTTTATCGAATTTCACATTTTGGACAGCATAGTCATTTTTGCAAATACAGGGGATATAATATAACATAATAATCGTCTTAATCCATATAACGTGTCGCGTATATGTATAACTT